CGAGGAACTAGATAGCTCTGTTTTCTTCACTGACCACACGCCCAGTACAGGTCGAGTTTAAGTTATATAATGTCTTCGTAAAAGTACTAATGTCCGATGTGAATCCTTTCCGATTCATAAGCGTTATAACAATCACAGTTATAGCTTTCGAAGTTTATAGCACACTGATTACAGCGAACTACTAATAGACGCTCTCTGGCACGTGGCGTTGATTATATTTATAGGCATGTGGAGGCTTTCTGGAGATTTCAGTTTTATGTAACAATACTGGCGCTTTCAAAAGCATTTACGTACACATATATTGTTGCTTCTTACTTTCGAGAATCTTCTACAACTTTGGAGTATAGGCGGGAGTTTTGCAATACATATTTAACAGTATAAGCAATATATGTTTATAAATATAAATTTAATCCAAACAAACATTGATATTAAAATAAATATATAATAAGAAATTCGCTACAGGGATAAGTATGCACATTCTAAGGGAGTTTAGAACTCTCATCCGAAGGATCGATTGAAGGATTGTGACAATTAACAACATACTTCTAAAGTTGCAATTTTTCATCTTGTAATAAAGTTTCTTTTTATTATTTTAATTATACTAGCTTTTACAATTGTCCACAAATAACTGCAATTAATGTAACCAAGGAAAAAAAGTAAAACAGACGTTGTTGAAACTTCTCACCTAATATATTTTTGTCGCAACAATTGCTAGTTCAACAACAATCTTCAAAGGTCAGCTTGACGAATTCTCAACAGGTTCTCCACTATGCGGCTCCACCAATGGCTCAGTAGTAATTCTAAGGGCTTATAACTCTAAAAACCGGTATACGATACTGTTAGTGGCTAGAGCACACATAGCCGTTTTTGTACTTCTGTGCTTTTTACAGCAAACAAATTTATCCATGGAGCGTAGAAATCAGTTTAGATAAATTACCTTTGCAGTTGAACATATATGTAATTGAAGGGAATTTTTGTTATTCCAATTTCTGTTCCCACCTTACAGAAAACAAACATTGATTTCGAGGTGGTACTTGAAACCTGTGAACTTTTGACTTGTGATTTTAAGTCCTTCTTATTATCTTGTCATTAGTACCAAGAAATACGTTCAGCTTCATTGCAATGGTATTTATAAACGTGACTTTATCTTTCAGGGATTTCAAATTGAGTAATAGAGCGTTTCTTTTCTTGCAGTGTCTTTCTATAATATTAGGTTTTAATAAAGTACGTACTCTTTCATGACAGGTAATGTTTGTTTAGTCTTCTACTAAATTACAATTTTTAAAGAATGATATCTTTCTTTATAGTTTTGCAATAATATCATTGTATATTTATTTAGATATTTATTAATTAATACACGTATTTACAGTGAATTATTCTTGTTTTCTTTATTGTATATCTGAAAAAAATTGAACTTATCTAAGTTGAGTGACCATTTTATTAAACAGGGGTAAATTACATTATATCAAACTATATTTTCACATTGTTTGTTGTTACATAAGTAGTGTCATGTCACCGAAACTTCACTGCTTTTGGAAGAGTATGTAACATATTTTCTGAGGCCAAACATTCATATACTCATATCAAGAGATGTATTTAGATGGTGGGTTTAGAATTATTTACTTTTTGGTACTGAAAAACAAGGGGATATGGATTAAGCTGGAACCCAGGTGCACATAGACCTGCAACAAATCATTCTCCACTCCTTGTAATGAATGTGCTCTGTCTTGTGTGACGGATTTGTTATTTTATATCTATTGTAATATCGATGTTTGTTTAAGTTAAACTTATATTTAGAAATGTACATAACATATGCTGTTAAATCTCTATTGCGAAATTCTCGAGTGTAAGAATCAACAATACATGTGTGTATGTAAACATTAATGTATCGTCAGTATTGCTCCGTAAGCTGAAATTTCGAGAAACTCTTCTCACGCCTTTAAATATAACCAGCGCAACACGCCAAAAGACAGTATACATATTATTGGTTTGCTACAGTTGGTATACTGTAAACCTCGGAAGCTATAATCGTGACTAACGTTTATTAATCGGGAACTTGAGATATTTGACCAGGAACATTTATAAATTTCGAAAATTACAAACCATTTAACTTCAGCACTTCAGATATTTGACCAGGATCATTTCCTAAAGTTCGAACATTACAAATCATTCAACTTCAGTGGATTCTCATCGGACATTAGTATTTTTACGAAAACATTATATAGATTCATCGTGAAAAACTCGGCGTGTATGGATGGTAAATGACGAAAAACAAAGCCAGCTAGCTCCCGGTTAAGTAAATTATATCTACGTCAACTCCTCATCGTGAACCCTCGATAAGATATCAAAGAAGTTCCAGACTAAAAGAAAGACTTTATATTGCAAGTTTGTAAACTTTCGTTTATAAATCATTATTTCTAATAACTATTGTTGCAAATTGTATTGTTCTTTTTATATTAAAAATATATTTGTGTTAAAAAAGAAAAGTGTGTGTATCAATGTTGTTGGCAAATATCCTAAACTGACTAAATACAGCGTGGTCACAAGTAAATAGACACCACCTTTTCAGAAAAAATTAAATTTTTCAGTCATATTCCCATGAATTGATATATTTATAATTTAATTAATATCTAGTAGATCCTCCTTTCGCTTCGTGGAGTTCATTGATCCTTTAGAGCATCGTGAGAATCATCTCGTCAATTTAAGATTGTGAGATTTTCGCCTTCTCTGGCTTCAAAACTTGGAGTAGATCGCTCTTCGAAGTTGGTTTTTTTGGTTGTTTCTTGACTTGCCGGTCGAGTATGGCCCAAAGGTTTTCGATGGGGTTCATGTCAGGAGATTGTCTCGGCCAGTGCAACATCTGGATACCATTTTCTTCCTGCCACTTTTTGGGTGTTTCTAGCAGTGTGACACGGTGCTCCATCTTCCTGGAAAAACGTTGTGTTCTTGTACACGAAACCCGAGGAATAACGTGGCATGAGTCATTCCTCTAATATTTCGACATATTTCGCAAAATTTATGTTGCCAACGCACTCCAATAAACTCGATTTTCCACCAACCC